TATTTGGAAAAAAAAAAGAATTATTCAATTTAACTTATTTTGACACTTAGTGCTCAAAAAGGGCTTCTAACACAAATTAAGCAGAATTATTAGAATATAGTAATTGTAGTATTAGCCATTTCCCTATAAGGAAACATTTGGCATTCACTGACCATGCAGCCAGTACTGCTCTTGGTTGAAGCTTATAAAATCTTTCTCTTAAAACTATTTTATCAGGAAAGTAGGTTTTGGTTTTTTCGAGTCCAGTAGCTGTTATCACTCTTTCCATTGTCAAGGGTGGTTTTCCTTCCTAACCTTTTATTTGAAGTAATGTGAAACGTTACCATCATCATAGTGTCATTATTTTCTTGGAAATAACTTATTTCTAAAATTTACGTGTTTTAATAGTATATTCATAATTGAAATCAAAATTCCCATGGTAACAGCCACGGCGAATTGTTTAAAATAGGTAGAGGTAAAATTGAGTTACAACTGCACTGAAAATCTAGAAGGTATAATAAAAAACACAATAATAAAATCTTGAACAAACCCCCATGCCTGAATAGTATTAATAATAACCCTACACTTAAATCAGACAATAACAGTGAAAAATTATGTGATTGTAGAAACCCAGAAAACTGCCCATTAGAAAATAAATGCTGCATCAAATCTGTGGTATACCAATGTACTATATCATCCACTGAGAGTCCTAATACTAATATGATATACATTGGGTCCACGGAGAATAATTTTAAAGATAGATGGAGGCAGCATAAGTGCTCTTTCAACAATATAAATAAAAGAAATCAGACTTCCTATCTAAATATTTTTGGCATCTGAAGGAAATAAATAGGACACTTAAAGTAAAATGGAAAATTATAAATAGGACTAGAACATGTAAAGCTTGGGATGACCCATGCCCTTTGTGCCTCCATGAGAAAATGCACATTATTAAGTTTCTAAATAATAAAAATCTATTAAACAATAGACATGAGATAACGGTTTTTTGCCAACATCATCAAATTTATGCACTGAATAATTAGCTAAAAACAAGCATACAATATAATAACTTTTATAATCCGTAGCCCAAATATATAGTTTAAATACCCTACAAAAAAAGATGACCCTTTATGAAGTCGTCTAAAAACAAATGATACGGCAGTTTTTATATGCACAAATCCCTTTCATAGAGAAATAAAATAAAAAAATAAATAAATCTCCATAGACACGTAAACCAGACTAGGCGAAAACATCTTCCGTTTCAAATTTAGACACCCCCCCACCTTACCTTGACTTGACATCTATGAAAGTAACTCTATACTGATACTTATTATTAACACCCAACACACCCCTACCTATTTTAAACAATTCACCCTGGCTGTTACCATGGAAATTTTGATTTCAATTATGAATATACTATTAAAACACGTAAATTTCAGAAATAAGTTATTCCCCAATAAATTTCGCTTGAAAATGGAACAGAGCTTACTTTAATTCAATTTAATTCAAATAATTATATTGAAGTTTTCGGCTCTTGTTTTGAAACATGAGACCTCTTATGTCGCGAGTTGGAATCATATTTTTAATAAATAATTATATTTATGCTCTACTTTTGTATCGAGCACTATTTTTTAAAAATAATAACAAAAATACTAAGAAAATTGGATTATTTACCTAACCAGTTCTTTCCTATTTTCTACATATTTTCACACACACACACACACACACACACAAACATATATATATATATATATATATATGGAACAGTTTTAAAATCGATTAATCTTCGGCAAAAGTAAATTGAGTCCTGTCACTGTGCGTTTATCTAAAAATAAATACGCTAAAATTCCTCTCATCCATCCTGTGTGCCCACGCCTTAGTGGTAGAATCTCCGATTGGCGCCAATTCAGTCGGGTTTCTATCCTAGCTAGAGGCAACCGGACGTCTCACCACACTGAAGAGCTGTGATACAGCGAAACAGTCTGCCCGTGGATGACATATATATATATATATATATATATATATATATATATATATATATATATGACAGCATATGTAATGACGTGGATTATCATATTAAATAATTGTCGAACTCAATCCTTCTTCGAATATTTTTCTCGATCGATCATATCTGCTCACGAAACTTATTTTAATGTAAACAATGACAACATATAATGAAATGGATTAAAATATGAAATAATTGTCGGATTTAATCCATTTCATCATATGTTGTCATTGTTTACGTTAAGATACGGTTTGTGAGCAGATATGATCGATCGAAGAATCGCCGAATACTGTGTTCATAAACAGTAATTTGGACTTTGCTAACAAGACGCTTCTCTGTAGCTAAATAGTATAGCACGTCAGATCAAATGACGGTTTCTGTATAGGAATACAGGCAGTCGGAGATCGCATATTTTCTACGAAATTTCTCAAAAATACAGGACGGTAGTAATTAATAAATTAAATAAATTGTTTCTATAAAAATAACGTATCAACATATATATATATATATATATATATATATATATATATATACACACACACTTTTATGTGTGAATATATATTCAAGATCCTAATAAGAAAATATTTTTCTCTCTCATATCTTATCTTCGGCTTCTAGGCATTTTTCTTAACTATTGCAACCAATGAGTTGCATGTCTTTATGTACCAGTCGCCGGTCGAGGTCTGCCGCCTGCCGACATCGCTTATCTCAGAGGAGTTTCTAAGTGCATCTGTTGAAATAGATCCTTGCTTATCCAATCAAATGAAACCTCATTTCTCTGAACGAGGGATAAAAAAGCGATAAGCATTCAACTCTAATGCTTCCCTAAATTGCATTCGACATGCAAAGTTAAATTTCCTACTGGCAGAGTCTCGGAGGCACTGATAGTTAATAGACAAAAATTTCATGGACTGAACATTGTGTAAATATCTCGAGAATGAACTTGGAATTAGATTAAGCAATATTATTTGGTTTTCTCTTCTTCCATTTTGAATTTGTTCGGTAAAAGTAATCCCGATAAGTAACTTACTTTTACATTCCGGTTCGATGCATTCGTTTCCACGCACATACACTTGGGAAAGGCATGAATCCATCTATCCACTTCTTCCCCAGCTATGGTTTGTGTTATGGTCCAAAGTCATTGTACCACAGTGATGGTCCATTATGTTTTTATGGGTAAGGTCCGATAACCACCACCCCCTCTTCCGAAAATTTTGCGTAGCAGGGGGTTTTAATATCTTTTTTCTTTGGATCTATTCCCAAAGGTTCAGTAAATTTTCTTTTTCTAGACGATTTTCATGGTTCTGGCATTATTTGTGGTCTTGTTAAATCGAATGTGACGAAAATCGTGTCCAATACCTCTTCTTGAGGTAGACCGTTAGCCTCCTGTAACGGTCTCTTCCTTATTTGGTTTACGTGTCTTCACGTGTGAGTTCGAATCTTCGTCGCTACTTGTTATGGACCAAGGTCCTTGTACCACGGTGTTGGCCCATTATGCTATTATGGGTAAGGTCCCATAACAGTTTGAATAGCAGGACAGATTGAGTTCTATATATTTCCATCGCAACCAGTCTATCGCAGAAAGTAATGGCAACCTACTGCGGAATAATCTTATTCCTAGTCAGTTATGAATCGAAAGAGACATGATCACACAATCTTGTATCACGTATGGCATTTAACTGACTGAACTTATTTTATGTAAGTAATATCTGAATGGAGACAAAAAGTGGCGACCTGATTTTTTGTATATTTCGAAGTTAATTCACATCATCTTCAAAATAGCAATCTGGAAGTTGAGTTAACTAATATTTATTTTGATAATATTTCGTTGTTAGTTGACGTCATCTTCAGATAAGTATAGCTGGAACTTGAGTTGACAAGTATTATTTTTGTTAATATTCCGAAGTTAACTTAAATCATCCTCAGGCAAGCGCAGTTGGAAATTGAATCGGAAAATACTGATTTTCCTAATATTTCGATGTTATTTTACATCATCCCCAGCAAAAATAGCTGGCAGTTGATTTGAGAAATATTAATTTACCAAGTTTTAAAAACAAATTCATATTTTTTGGCACACTCTAAAAGAGAGTGAAGAATAGAAGTCATTTCTTTATTTACATTTCAAGAGAATGCTCTACCGTCTAATTTTTCCCTCTATGTAAAAAGATTGTCAACTTCATTTATATATAAATGCATTTTATCTAGATTTCTTTAAAAACAAGACATTTGTTAGTAACATGCGGTTCAAATGTTTTCAGAATTTATGCAAAAACATGCATATAAATACATAATATTATAATTACTTCATTAAGTCATTTCCCTAAATTTCTGTAACCTTAAAACAAATAGTGTTCAGTTTTTTAGTTCCACCTGTTCAGAGCCTATAGTTAGAACAGATCATGCCACTTCTACGGAATCATTTTCATTTCATCCATGTTTCAAATGAAAGAGGAATTTTCCACACAAGGAGGATTAGTAATCAAACTCCCGCATGGGTGCTTCCCTGAAGACTTCAATCTTAACCTCTCAATCATTCTCTTTCTACCTTATATTCATTATTCATTTCCTATCACATTTTCTTCATATCACGCAACTCATTCATCATAACGATCTTAACTGTGACTATCCACCTTGAGTGTCTCTCGAGGCAGTGTTGTTTCATTCCCGTTACAGTTTTAATATTTCAGATACGCAAAGAAAAGTTATTTATCTGCACCACCCCTACTCGAACAGAATATGACACAGGGGCAAGCCTAAAGTGGGGGTCCTATGCGTACATAGAACCAGTGTCCCAAAATAGTCCAGCCCCTCAGCACTTCTTCTTATATGGACCCCTCACATATCAGGTAATGACCCTAAAATCCTATAGAGTATTAAGTATTGTTTGGTTAGATTAACCCCCTGGGACTGGACATAAATAGTTCATTTTTCTCTTGTCAGTGTCAAAAGGCCGATAAATGTAATCATAAATTACGTTTAGATGAGATGTTCAATGTGAAAGACATAACATGGATCTTTAGACATCTAAGAAAAGGAAATCTGTAAAGAAGACATAGAAATAAATTGAGAAAGTAAGCAAAATTAAAAGAAACAAAGAAAGAAAGAAAGAAAGAAAGAGAGAAAGAAAGAAAGAACGGTAAAATAGCCAAAAAGAAAGAAGGCCAACAGGAAATGGGAAAGATGAGAAAAGAGAAAAAACATTTAAAAAACTGACAGAAATAACTAAATAAATAAAGCAAAAAATAAAAAAGAAGAAAGAAATCACAATATAGAAAGACACCAAAATAAGAAAAACTATGACATGACAAGGTAAAAAATGTACGAAAAAAGAAAGAATGAACGGGGAAAAAAGAAAGAACGAGAAACAAATTGGAAAGGAAAAAAAAATTAAAGTTGCGCGTTGTTTATTGACGTTCTGTCAGTAAAAAAAAAAATGAAAGAAAGACCTAGAAAAGTGAAAAAGAAAAACACCAAAAAGAAAAAAAAAACGAGGAAAACTTGTGTATGTGTAACAGAGAGAAAGAGTGTGAGAGAGTAAAAACGAAAAAGAAAGAATAAATGTCTGGAACTCAGAAGAATGCAAGTAAGACGTTGGTATTCTTAACTCCAAAAGTGTATTTGTATGGTTTCTTCTTCAGTTGAATAAGCGGATATTGTTTGTAACCATCTCCTTGATTCTAGGAAGATTATGGCGGCGTTTATGAATGTCACAGCGGCAGGGGTGTTTATGGAACTAGGACTTGTTTAAACATATGTCGAACCAACGAAAAATGTTTAGTAATAGAATAGAATAAGCCGTTGAATACTAAAAATAAGGCGTTTCAGGACAGCTGTTTGAATCGATCTCACGTCAGTCTTTGCTTGTCTTAAAAGCGATATCTACAAACATATGTGTTTTTAGGTGCCCAGTTAAGGAAATTTACGCCAATGGAATGGCTTAAAAACTTCCTTAAAAGAACTATCAAGTACACTTAATTTTTGACGAAATAAGACGAAATGCACTTAATTCTTGACGAAAGAAACGGTAATCGTGAAAAGATTTTATTGTATGAATCTGGATATTATTTTATTAAAACGTTAAAAAATTTATTTTCTCCACAATACTAGATCGCTACTTTCTAAATATTTATTTGTTGCAGAATAGATTGGTAGAGGTCAAACTAAATAAAGGACTTGTGACCATTGAATTCACAATATTATAGCTGATGTATTTGATTTCTTCTGATAAGTTTTGTCTATAGGAGTCATATCAGATCCAAAACAAAGTATTACTGCTATACCTTGGCAGGAGCTCCCTAATCCTCACTTACCAGCCTCGAGAGAGTTAAAAAAGAAAAAGTTTATGCGACCTTGTACGGATAAAACTTTCCTCCCTGCAGCACCTTTCTTCATATCCTCAACATAGCTAAGTTTATCGTTATTAACATGGCAAGGGCCACCAAAAGAAACCTTTACAGTCAAATCCTGTCTTGCTATGTCCACAAGATTGTATCACTACCATTCCTTAGACATTATTTAACGGGATCCACTCTGAATGTTTCTTCCTAAGAACCACTCTATGGAACAAACTCCTAGGTGGATGATTTATATTTTCTTTTACTAATGTTCACCCAATACAAGACACAAGGGCCACTCAAGGGAGAGTTACTGTTTGAAGTTGTATTAGTGCAAGAAAGGCCAAGAAGTGAAATTCTTACAGCCATGCAGGAAAGATAGCAGCTTGAACATGTCAAGATTTAATTAGTGAATGAAAATATAGTTATAAATATAGAATTGAAGTAGACTTTAGAAGGAACCGGAAACCCAATCTTAAACAGAAAACAAGGGATAAACCTCTAGTCCTGTTCAAAAGACCGGGGAGGCGTGTGAACAGGACGATAGGCAAATCTATCTACTCCTATAGGGAAGGGAAAAATAGTAATAATTACTGAATAAATTTTCAGATTTCAGGTGGAGAAGTCAGAAATACAGAGTTGAAGGAACCGGAAATCCAATCTTAAACAGGAAACAATGGATAAACCTCTACTCATGTTCAAAAGACCAGGGAGATGATAGAACCGGACGATAGGCTAACCTATCTACTCCTATTCCCAGAAAATTACAAACCTATCTCTTCAAATCTAGGCTCAGTAGTTATTTATCAGCCATACCCCAGTAATCCTCACTTCCTACTTCCCCTTCTTCATATCACGTACCTCACTGGCTCTTGAGCCTTATATTGGGTGTATATTGAAGAAAAAGCTGTGGAGAGCTTTGATTTTCTACGTCTTGAAGTAAAATGACATTAAAAAAATCGATTTGTGTATTTTTGTATTATTCATTTTGCTTTAAATCCTCTCATTTATTTTAGGATAAAATTGTTTAAATTCTGTTTTCTAATCTCTTTGTTATCTCTTACTAGCATTTTCTTTCCTGGTGAATTATGTCAGCCTTTGTCCTCTCCCGCCAATTTTATCTCCCGTCGAAAATGGCGGAAAACAGATTAAGAGGCGTAATCAAATTTTAATGGCGTCATTAGTCGCAGGTCACTGATAGATTAAACGCTCAATCAATGACAGACTAGCAAGCATGCGCATACCAACCGGACATTTCTTCAAGATACACCCAGTTATTTAAGGGAATTTATTGTGATATTAGCTTGCTGACGAGTGCACAGGGGTCGGCATCAACATCAAACTGAATTCAGTTAAATATAATGTTATCTTTTGAAAACCGATATATTTATTAAACTATTATTATGGCATTGATTCAAATAGCCGGGTGGAAATTAAGGGAAAAGGCTACTGAACATTTTCTGGCGTTTTGGTGAGGGTTGGTCATTCGGAATGCGCAGTTTGAACCGACTCTCGACCGGCCTTGAAAATGTGCGTTCAACCTAAAGAATCTCCGCCTGACAATTTATTTCAAGGTTCTCGGTAGAGGTCTCAGTAGAAGGTTTGCTGGGATTCATGAAAAACGTGATCCTGGTACCCTGTTCAAATTTGTCAGACATCGTAAACCACGTGGCGTAGTTTCAGCACAACATTATAAAATATCATGTAATTATTAAACAATATTAGAGAGCAGACTGACTCAGTAGGCTGGGTACGAATGGGCACTTGGTATGCATGCATTTCTGTCCGCCTGTACAGTAACAGTCTTTTTACTTTCCATTATCACCCATTCATAAATATTAAGATGAAGGAAAACCCTGATTTTAAATATTCGATGCGGTCATATTCAAACACGTTAAAGGCTACCCTACAATGTAACAACTACCCTGGGTACATGGCAGCAGCCTAAAAAAAACTGGGATAGGCGGGTACAAGAAGAGAACAACACTCAGAAAACAGTGTGCCTGCCTTATGTGAAGGAGTTATCAGAGAAAATTCAAAGGATCTGCGGTCCATATAAGATCAGGACAACCTTCAAAAGTTGGACGACATTCAAATATCTCTCCCGAGTAAGACCCCCCATAGAGGAGAACATGACTAAAGACTGTGTGTACGCAATCCCGTGCAGCTGCGGAGAGAAATATCAAAGGAGACAGGCCGCCCCCTTAAGGTAAGGCTTCAAGAACACTAGAAAGCTGTAACACGAGGGGAAATGAAAAATTGAGTCGTGGCTGACCACATATGGTGAGAAAAGGGAGATCACTGCCTTCTGTGGTATCAGGTTGAGATCATAGACAAAGAACACCATTGGAAAATGCGTAAACTTAAGGAATCAGCACATATGCTAGGCCACAAAAATCTCCATAGCCGACCAAGCATAGAAATGAATACAATATGGGAACCAGTAATAAGGAGTGCCAGAGAAAAGCGATAACAACAAAAATTGCAATATAAGCTCTGGTAAAAATATTCAATGATAATAGCAAAAAAAGCAATATGAGCACTGGTAAAAATGGTTGATGATGACATTAGGTTTATAATATCCAGAAATTCATACACAGATATCCTCAAGGACACATGACACAGTGGATAAAGGCGTTAGTTAGATCCAGTGACAGGACCCAAAGAGTGTGACTTCAATTTCAGTTTCTCTGAGTTCAATACCCGTTTAAGGCAGTGGAGAACTTGGAGAGGGGAATTAATAGGAGATAACTGATAACTGACACCCATTAACCATGGCACGTGGAACTAGAACAGTCTACCAATGAGCGACGTTACAATGGAGTGTACAACGGCCGAAACGTTGTAATAAATATGGCGACAAAGATGTAAATAGTGTACGGAAAAGACTATTGAAGTAAATCCAGTCAGAAAACCCGGAGAGGAACCCTGAAGGCCGATGGCTGTCAACACTGACAACCTTCCAGCAATTACTGCAGCCAGACTGGTTCTTTGGATCTTGTCTGAACAGCTGAGAAGGGGACATATTTTCTGGGTACTCTATATAGTCTATGTCTATGCCTATGTCATTGAGAGGTCACACTATCTCAATGCCAAAAAGAAATGGACTTCAACGAAACAAGTTGACCTTTATCTTTCGAGATAAATGGACGTGTTACTATATTATTCAATATGTGCTGTATTTATGGGGAAAGATTGCTCCGTATGCAGAATAGATTGTTTTCAGATATGAAGAATGAGGCTATAAAACTCTATTCTGCAAGGTAACTGTTGTCTCAAGCCTTAATATTAAATCAATGAAGCTTAAATCATTGAATACTTGAATCAATAATTGAACCAATAAAATAATTGAATAAATTAAGTATAAAAATAATAAAGTAATTTAATCAATAAAAATAATTGTATCAATTATAAAAATAATTGTATCAATAAAAATAATTGAATCAATAAAAAAATCAATGCTTTCGTTTGAAGAATTAAGCTATCATCAGATCATGTGTCACTAGTTTTTCTGTAAATTTTATATATCGGTTAATGGAGCCGATATATAAAATGTGAGCGGAGAATAAAGAATCCGGGTTTTTCCCATTTTTGGTTGGTTTTTGTTTCGATTGTTTAGGGTCAGTATTGTAGATTATTAGTAGTCCTGACATAGAGTCTATCTATTTTAGCATACTTTCTTCGGTTTTAAAGTTTGCTATTTGAAATAATATTTATTATTTTTATGTTTGGAGTTCATACCTGGTTGATAGAATTAGACAAGAACAGTGCAGTTTCGTTAAAGAGACTGGAAAATAGATTCCAATAGTTATTGTTGTGGATTCCGGGATGAAATCCAGTCTCAAATGAATGACAAACGCAGGAATGAAATATAGCAAATAAATGTATTGACATAATAATACAATTGGTAATACGGTTAGTAGATCCAGAAATGCGGTTAGTAGCAATAATAATATATATATAGTCTGGGAAATTCAGTATCGAAGTATGACTTCCTTCTGAGTCTACGTGCTCGCAACTGTGACTCCTACAAAGCGGTTACCTCAGACTCTCACTCTCTTACTCCCGGGTATTCACCGGCAGCAGTACAAGTAAACACTGGGCGAGTCTACTTGTATAAAAAAGGGGTGGACCCCTTAACAGTTATACTCAGAATGATATTAGAAATGCAGAACAATGTCTATCGATTTTTCATACATTATGCAAAAGATTTTAATAATGTTTCGCACTAAGAATTGTTTGAACTGCTAAGTAAACGAGGGCTATTTGACAATAGAATAATTCAGAACTTATACAAGAAACAAACCACTTGCATGAAAATGTATTCAGTAAATACAAAAAAAAAGAGCAAGGAGCGTAAGACAAGGATGCATCTTCTCACCGGATTTATTCAACCTTCACAGTGAGACGATCTTGTGAGAACTGAAATTCAGAGCAGGATTTATTGTTGGTGGTCAAAATCTTGACAACATAAGATATGCAAAGGACACAGTGTTGATAGCAGACACAGAAAGAAAATTGCAGTAACTGCTACAGAAAGGAAGCCAGAAGAGTGGATTGACAATAAACTGATGTGAGAGAATGTATTGTTGTTAGCAAAAGAGGACAGTCCAAGATGCGAACTACAAATTGGGGATGTTGAAATCAAGTAAATACGAAAATTTGAATATCTGGGAAGTGTTCTAACAATGAGCAGAGAATGTGACATCGATATCTGAAGATGCATTGGTATAACGAAAGATGAATTCCAAAAGTTAAGCAAAATATTAAGAAAGAAGAAAATGTCGTTTTAAACAAAGAAAAGAGTACTGTATTGTTATGTAATATCAGTCCTTCTCTATGGCAGTCAATGTTGGACAATCTCCTTACAGATGAAGAAGAGACTTGAGGCAACAGAAATCTGGTTCTACAGGAGAACGCTGAGAATATCATGGACGAAGAAAAAGAGCAACGAAGAAATTTTAAAGAAACAAAAAAAGACGCGAATCAGAAAGAGACAGTTCAAATTTCTAGGACATATAATAAGGAAAGAGGGCTAGGAGAATCTGACACTCACAGGTGATGTTAAACGCAAGAGGAGCAGAGGAAAACAGTGAGTAATTTACCTAATGTAAATGCATGGCAGATCAGAGATTGGAAGAAATGATGAAAAGACAAAACTTAATAAGCGCTACAAATGATAGGAAGTTGTGGAAAGATATGATCGACCACGTCCTGAATGGACACGGCACATAGAAGAAGATGTAGTCGTAGGTAGCGTCGTAGGAATTTTTTGTGTTTGTATTCGCGAATTTTGGGGAAATTAACTTCGGTTTTTTGTTTAAGACTTTATATTCTGGAAAACCGTTTGTTATTCGTTTCTCTAGGCTAGCGGTTTTCAAACTTTTTGACTTGCGGACCCCTTTATATTTCAGGCTTTACCTTAGGGACCCCCTTATAAACGCTTATACAATTTATACATAAATATTTGCTGAATATTACATATAATTTTGCATTAATGCAATAAAAGCTGATTTAAAGCTTACTTTAGACATAAGTGTTCAAATGTAACAAAATTAAATTGTGTTATATTAAAATCTTAATTTTACATGTAAATGAAAACAGTAATAGTATTTAACAAATAGTTTTATTGTCAATTACACACACAGGATTTTTTAATACACACTTAGTGAGAAGGATGTGCTTGCTTGGTTTTGCACAAATTGTCAATTCTTGGCGATATTACTTATAAACATACACGTAAGTCACTTTCTAGAATAAGTCTGGATTTGTATTTGTTTTTCAGATTGGTTAGTGCCGAAAATCCTGCTTCGCATAAATATGTTGTTGCAAATGGTAACAAAATCTTAACTGCCTTTTGAGATAACAATGGCTACTCGGAGGCTACAGTGAGCCAGAATTTCGAAAGTTGTTGCTGTATAAAACTGATTTTTAAAGTTCTGTCGCCTGAAATTTCCACCAGTTCTTCCAGTTCATTTCCTGTGAGCATGCTATTAGCTATTTCAACATTAAACGGATTTTTGATCCAGTCAAAATTTTCAATATTATCAGGAACATCTTTCGAGAAATATTTGTCAAAATGGTCAGCAAGTGATATTAAATGTCATTTAACATCTCCAATTATCAAATCAACATTAACTGAACCATTGTTGCTGAGAAATTCATCCAGTTTAGGCAACATATCGAAAGTTTTCTTACTAACTTTTGCAGTCCATATATTCAGTGTTTTCTTAAAGGCTTCGATTTTGTCATGACTAAATATGATATTTGAATTTCTTATAAGTTGCATGTCACCCATAAAAAAGTCTTTGCTGTCCACGGACTCCCTATCTTGTCCTTGCGGACCCCCTGTGGTCCGCGGACCCCAGTTTGAAAACCCCTGCTCTAGGCAACGGATGCATTATTTCGAGGGGTGTTTGATGTTGTTTTTTGTTAATTATCATGTTATTTTTTTATGCATTTTGGTTTGTGCTTTTGTGGATCCATATGTATTTTGAGAGGTGCTATATTTTTGTTGTTAAATGATGTACTGCGTTGAAAGATTCTTTTTCCTCAACTAACAAATGTTTTGTTCTCTTCACTCATAGGTAATTTTGCAATATCTTGTTTCTTTTTTTAATACATCACATCTTTCTTACGAACCCCGATAATCTTTACGCATATGAAATGAAAAAATTAAATCTCATTAACTATAATAATAATAATATATCTATTTACTCTCGAGTTGCATTAATAACATCTTACAACACCAAATAAATCATTATATAACTATTTGTAATAACAACAGATATTATGAAGTGAAATACACGTGGTGTACAAAATATATCCAGAAAAATTATAGTAAAATATATCCTGAAAAATTATAGCAAATTCGGTCAGCTATTACCAGTTTTATGGTAAAAACATTGACTAGCTTACAAAAAAAAAATTCTGACAGAATTTAGATAGAGTGATGCACTTTTAATATTGGCGAGTTGTTGACCCGTGGTTCTTCACAACGGTCCCACGGGGGATTATGCTACACCTTTTTTTTTTTTTTATCAAATCCCTCTCGGCCCATTTCTAATGGTACAAGACTATCAAATTTAACTTTGAGTATTTTTCAATCTTTGCAGTGCTTTTTTGGAAATTGGCAGCATTTAAACGATTCAAAAGATGTCTTGATTGATTCCAGATATTCACAAAAGCTGTTCTTTCTTTTAGTTTTTTTTTTCCTTCTTCTCTCGTCTTTGACCTCTATTTCGTGATTTTCTCAAAAAAATAAATTATATTAACACCAAAAAGTCTTATTTGTAATTCATTTTGTCACGTACATAAATAGAAACGCCGAAATAAGTATTTTACCATAGGAAATTTACTCATACTGAATGTTGGGAGATTACTGCATAGCCATAGTTAAGAAGCCCTTTTCGTGAGCTAATGCTAGCTAATTCAGTTGATTTGGGCGCTCTCTCCTTTACCTGGCCTTTAATCAGACTAGACGAGGCTAATTATATATTATATATATTATATATTATATTATACATTATATATTATATATTATATTATACATTATATTATATATATTAGACGAGGCTAATTATATATCATATATTTGAAGTATTGCAATATCCAGACTAAGTTTTTCATACAGTACATCGGATGATGAATGTAATTCATGATGGCGTGATCATGTTCTGCCCGGGATATAATGACTGAGTTGAGTGTCAAACTGAAGAATAAAAAAAAAGAGTAAAATGTAAAAGAAAAAATATCGGACGAAGAAAAGGAGAAAGAAAGAAAGAAAGAAAGAAAGAAAGAAAGAAAGAAAGAAAGAATGTTCTTTTCATAAACACTGTCGTCGACAAAAGAAACAAACAAAGAAAGAAAAGAAAAAAAAGAGGTGGAAGACGAAATGGAAAGAAAGAAAGAGGCAATGAAACAAAGAAAAAAATGATAAAAGTAATAGAAAATACATTCATAGAAAGACAGAATATTCTGTGAACAGTGTTGTTGACAAGAGAAAGAAACAAAAAGAAAAGAAATAGAAAGAGTCTGAAGATAAAAAAAGAAAGAAAAAAAAAGGATATGATAAAAAGAAAGAAAAGATATTCAAAGAAAGGAAAAAGATATCCTCTATGAACACGACTGTTGACGAAAGAAAAAAGAAAAAAAAGAAACAGTTATAAGAAGAAAAAGAAAGAAAGAAAATTCTCCTCCAACATCGTTGTTAACAAGGGAAAGAAACAAAGAATAACTAGTAGGTGGAAGACAATACAGTAAGGAAGAAAGAAAAGATATTCTCTGCGAACTCTGCTGTCGACAAGAGAGAGACGACAAAGAAAAGAAAGCATTGAGATCGACGACGAAAAAAAAAAGAAAGAAAGAAAAATTAATATCTGAAAAAAAAAATATTAAGAAATAAAGAAAGATAGTATTGCTGTAAGACTAGAGAGAATAAGGAAAGTAAAAACTGTTTAAAATATAGAGAAAGAAAGAAAGTAAAAGTAGGAGCCTGAAAAAGAAACCGAAAAGCAAAAAAATAGAAATGGAGAAATAAATAAAATACGGAAAGAAAAAATATGAAAAACGATTATGAAGATGATGTAAACCTCTTTACATTATTTACATTGTTCGGACTTTTGTCCTCACCCTTTTTTTATACATTCACAACGTTTCGGATGTTCTACTCGTCAATCTTCTTCAGGTATAAAGGACACATAGCCCAGTGGATAAAAGTGTTGGTTGAAGTAATCCAGTGATTTGACTGAAAGAGTTCTGTGTTCAATACCTGGCCAGAGAAGAAGAGATCAAAAATTTAGAGAGTTGAGTTAAAGGGAGATAACTGAAAGTGAGATATCCGTAAGAGGCATTGCACGTGGAACTAGAACAATCTTCCCCCGTGCACGAAATAAAGAGTTCGGTTCGAAATTCCAATCACCTGAAGAAGGCCGGAGCGTACAACTGACGAAACGTCGTGAATATGACAACAAAGATGTGGACAACAGGCTGAACAATGTAAATAGTGTAAATAGTTACAATACCCCATCTCAGAAATATAGACAGATGTTAATCTCATGCAAAAAATGGAGAATAAACGAGACAGGATAAAAAGTGTTTTGTTTTTGCTTTTTTCTTTTTGTTTTTTTTTGTTTTGTTTTTCTTTTCTTTTTTCTTTTTTTTATAAAAATACGAAAAGTAAGAGAAGGAAGAGGACGAAATGATCAGTAGAAAAAAGTAAAGAAGAATAAAGAAGGAAGCAAAATGTGGTAGAAAGAAAGAAAGAAAGAAAGAAAGAAAGAAAGAAACAAGAAAGAAAAAGAAAGAAAAAATTCTAAATGAAACTCCATAATGAGATGTTAGAGATTTAATAGCAAGCTCATCTTAAAGATCATTACTACTGAATAATGAGTTCGATCCTCACTAGGAGCTCTATGCTTATAAATTTACGTCAAAATTAACTACTCCTGGACGTAATCATATCGTTTAGATCAATGTTTCTCGACGTGGTCCAGGTGGACCACCGGTGGTCCACATAGCATTTCTCGTGGTCCACAGACGATTCGTAGCTATAAAAACCTTGTAGCTATTTCACAAAAATATATCTAAATTATTAATACTTGGAAGAATTAAGAATATATTTTGTTTAATTACACACATGTCATTCGAAATTACGTAGGTATTATGCAGTACTATATTTATTTTTTTATCATATATATATATATATATATATATATATATATAATGTTATATATTCTATATTAAATATAAACTTTTTATTCATCTAAAAAAATTATATTATATATAGTATTTGTTTACTAAAATAAATTTTAAAGTTTAAATAGACTACTTTGTCTTGTCATTGAGTATTTTAGTGTGAAAATTGAACAGCCTAAAAGTAAAAGTAGGAGTGGTCCATTTTAATTTTTTTGAAGAAAAAAGTGGTCCAGAGACTGAAAAACGTTGAGAAGTACTGATTTAGATAATACTGATTTTTGGAGCATAAAAATTAATACCCTTCCCTATGAGAAAAAAGACTAATAAATTGTCTACTTTGAATATTAATGTTTTCCGTCTCTTCAAGTACATGATAGCAGGCCTCAGTGTTGTAAATCTTCGCGGCTTACGGTTATATCACGTTGAAACACCGGTTCTCGTACGACCGCCGAAGTTAAGCAACGTCGAGTCTGGATGGGTGACCACTTTGGAATACCAGGTACTGAAAGCGTGGATGTGTGGTGGTGTAATGGTTAACAGCTCGAAATTGCAACTCGGAGAACTCAGTTACAATTCCAGTCCAGTTCGCTATATTTCCCTTACGAGCAAATTCTCTTCTAAGCAATAGATTAATTAGTAGGCCTTGTATCAGTCAATCTATATTAACTTCAAAAATTTCTTACGACCTTAAAATATTTTCAGGCTTTAAATAACCTACAAAAGGTTGATAAGCCGTAAAAATAATCAATCAATGTAGTCCATTTCAAAGCCTTTTAATTTTCTATTGTAAATCATATCAAGAAGGAAACAATATTTTCTTTTACTGATATTGCTGAGAAGACATGGGAAATAGATTTTACAAACTAGCACGAAGGATAAAAATATATAACTTTGGTCGTGGGGAAATAGTTTCGACTTTTTTAAAATATGAGTCTATGCTTGAAGCGTAAATGAACTCAGCAGAGAAAACTAATGACGCAGAAAATTATTAAAAATATATACAACGTTCTCTTGCGCCAGGGTGAGCATGATATACTTTTATATACTCTGCTTCGATTGACGTTCGAATCTAGTCTGGCGTCGACAACGCTTATTTTGAAACCGATATGCAATATTAATTTAGAAGACAAAGTAAGAAAATATACGGCAATGGATCTAATTCTGTTCGCGGCTGCTGCTGTAACAGCATAGCCCTTCATAAATGCACAATATGGATGCTGACATTTAAATGCTAACAACGACCAGTGCTTTGTGTTTAGCTTGTCTCCTTGAAGCACCAGCATCCTTTGGAACATTCTGCACCAAACAGACTCTGTCGGAAAGGGGACAAACACGCAAGGAATCAATTTACTACACTAGTTTACTCGTGTTTGTGCGTGTGTGATTCGGGGCACGAGGTTTGTTTAAACATTGGTTAGAATAATAGGATTGCGTATAAAGCTTTGCGTTCTGCTTTGCATCAATTGTGCATTTGTTCAATCCAAGTTTGGCGAGAGAAAAGTCTTTATTATTATTATTATTATTATTATTATTTGTTTTGATATCCACCCGACACTTAAAAGTTTCGGCGGGTTGTTGATGATCATATCTCATCTCATACGCGAAGCTTACCGACAGAACACTTTCCTTAGTACGTTCCAGAAAATGCTCCGACCTGTGCACTCCTAATGATGCCAGGTATACCCAAGGTGTTCTGCGAAGCAGGAAGATTCCTGGAAATATTCCCGAGCGCGCTAGTCACAAAACGGACAACTTGATTGATAGATTTTTTTTTTTTTTACGGTTTATTTAAAGGCAGAAAATATTTTTAGATTGTAACATATTTTTTTTTTGGGGGGGGAGATAACTCATACTAATTAAGTTATAGGTAAGGGGATGGGAGGTCGATTCCTCCGTTTTCCACGTGAATATAAAGAAAAAAAGGATTTATGCTTTCAAAAACAGATTCAGTTCTCTCTTTCTCGAGAAGGAACTCCGTGTAGCCTCGGAAGTGACTATCTGCTTAGACCAGGTGATACTTATTTATATTGGCCATCAGGTCCACAACGGAGGCCCCCAACGAGTCCTTGGTATCGTTGGTTGGTCTCCCTTTTGAAGACGTCCCAGTCGAAGTAGAGCTGATATTCAATCAGGAGAACTATTGTAGGTAGCGATATGTTGATGTAAGATAACGCAAATTCTCACTTATCCACTTCTAGATCACACGGCTCGGATTGAGGAATCGGAGAGCCGAGTTCAAATTCCAGTCGAATCCAAATTCCAGTCGAATCCAATACATTCACTTACGAGCTAATACTCTTGGGGAATGTATGTATCCTCTTCTTCTCCCCCCAGCTATGGGTAAATAGCAGGACAGACCGAGTTCTATAGCCTTTGATGGCAACTGGTCTACCGCGGAAAGAAATGGCAGACTACTGCGGGAAAAATCTGCCTCGTCAGTCATGTATCGAAAGATCGCCTAAGCGTGTATCACGCATGGCACATAACTGATCAGAGAGTTGATGTTTCTGAGACAGAAAATGAGCAAAGAGAGTTCGGAGAATCTGACCCTCACAGGACATATTGAAGGCAAGGGGGACAGAAGAATACGGCGAAGATTAACGAGATTGTAAATAGAAGGCAAAACAAGAGCTGGCTGGGGTGGTAAGGGGCCCAAAAATTGATTCAAGTTTCGAAGAATAGGCAGTAATTGAAAGCTATGATAGCTCAAGTCTTGAAGGAACATGGCGCATGAAAGAAGATATTTTTATTTCAAATGTACGTATATCGAATACAAAAGCTGATAAGTATTGAACAGTTCGTATATCGATATTACTATTTCTCTTCTTCCCCCATTTTTCTCTTAGTTTGTCATACTTTTCCTCCTTCCCTGCATTTTTCTCTTCCCACTCTCTTATCTACCCCCTTTATCTAATAAATAGAATATCGCCATTTCTTATGTGGCCTGGTTATCTTTCTGACCGGATTGTTAATTACATCTCTTAATGAGGCGTTCTTTTCTGATGATCAATTATTACCGAGGCCGTCGTTTTCACTTAGAGGACCAAAATGACGCGACAGCAATTCCCCTTGATCACTGCCGGCGACAAGGGAGACAAAATAGATAATAAACATACAAGACTATAAATAAACAGAAAGAAAGAAAGAAAGAAAGAATGAAAGAAAGAAAGAACCGCGTAAAAGAACTGTGTAGAAAAAAAAGAAAGAGCAAACAAATAAAGAAGAAAAGAAAAGGAAATGATAATGTAGAAAGAAAGAAAAATAGAAAGTAGTGAATTAAAAAAGAAAGAAAGAGGTTAAGTAAAATAGAAAGAACAGTGTAAAATAAAGCACAATTTAGTGAGAAAGAATGAAAAAAGGAAGGAAGGAAGAAAGGAAGGAAAACGAAAAATGTAGAAAGATAGAAAGAAAGAACCAAACAAAGGGAGAAAGAAAAGGAAAATGACAATGCAGAAAGAAACTGACAAAAAGAACTGACAGTGTGGAAAAAAAGAAGCAAGAAAGAAAGAAAGAGAAGGAATGAAGCAAGCAAACAAGGAAAGAAATGGAAATGAAGATGGTGAAATAAAGAAAGAAAGAAAGAAAGAAAGAAAGAACCGCGTAAAAGAACAGACTGTGTAGAAAAAAGAAAGAAAAAAAGAAAGAAAGAAGGAATGAAGCAAACAAACAAGGAAAGAAAAGGAAAGGAAGATGGAGAAAGAAAGAAAGAAAGAAAGAACTAAAGAAAGAAAGGAAGGAAGAAAGAAAGAAAGAAAGAATTACAAGCAATGAATAAGTTGAAAGAAAGAAAGAAAGAAAGAAAGAGAAAGAATTTTAATCAATGAATAAACCAAAAGATTGAAAGAAAGAAAGAAAGAAAGAAAGAAAGAAAGAAAGAAAGAAAGAACCGCGTAAAAGAACTGACTGTGTAGAAGAAAGAAAGAAAGAAAGAAAAAGAAAGAGAGAAAGAAAGAATGAAGCAAACAAACAAGGAAAGAAAAGGAAAGGAAGATGGAGAAATAAAGAAAGAAAGAAAGAAAGAAAGAAAGAAAGAAAGAAAGAAAGGAAGGAAGGAAGTAAGAAAGAATTACAAGCAATGAATAAGTTGAAAGAAAGAAAGAAAGAAAGAAAGAAAGAAAGAGAAAGAATTTCAATTAATGAATAAATCAAAAGAAAGAAAGAAAGAAAGAAAGAAAGAATCGCGTAAAAGAACTGACTGTGTAGAAAAAAGAAAGAAAGAAAGAAGGAATGAAGCAAACAATCAAGGAAAGAAAAGGAAATGAAGATGCAGAAAGAAAGAAAGAAAGAAGCATAAAGGAATGAAAAGGAATTGACAATAGAAAAAGAAAAAAGAAAAGAAAGAAAGAAAGAAAGAAAGAAAGAAAGAAAATGACAAGGCAGAAAGAGTGAAGATGGACAAAAAAAAAGAAGAAATATCTATTATCAGATCGAGAATAGAGATGAGTGTTATGTCAGCCACTAGGCGTGCCTCATCCTAAAGGCTCACTCAGAGTAACTGCTTAATATTTACTCACGTCATTTCAACAAGCATGAAGATCACAACTGTTGTTTTACTTTGCCATTGCTGACAGGAAGTTGACTGCGTTCAAATACAAGCACTCGATGACCGAACAATAAAAAAATGGAAAAGTAAAGAGATTATAAAAGAGAGAGAGAGAAATTAAAGAGAAGTAGAAAGACAAACTGGAGACACATTTTATTTGCATCGGTATATACATTTTCGTATGCTTATGACTTCACAAGCGCATCCTCTTAACGAAATATTTTATCTATCAATCTATACATACATTGTTTGATAAGCATTTTTTTTTCCTTTTGATGATGGAGTTTATGTAAAAGCCAAGAAAAGAAACGTTTGCACATTTTAGAACAGGATTTTATCATCGGCAATCAAGGGCTACATACTCTTCTTATTGCCCCGTAGCAAGTATATACAGCGCTTTTAAAGTCTGTAACATTTATATCAAAACATTTACGTAAATATTGCGCAATGGCGGCAAAAATAAACGTTTGTTAAGATAAAACAAGAATGTCTACTCAGTTATTGTATACAAGAATCGATATAATAACGCCATAATAAATTTTTAAAAATCCACAAAATACCATCTTCAATCACTAGTTTTAAAAAGAGGCTGCAGGGAACTTTCTCCCTCACATGATATGGCTTACGGCCATATTGCGTTGAAACACCGGTTTCCGTACGATCACTAAAGTTAAACAACGTCAAGCCTGGTCAGTACATAGATGGGTTACTACTTGGGAATGAATTAAAGCTAATTCGGTAACGGAAAATTCGGTAACGGAAAATTCAGTAAAGGAAAATTCGGTAACAGAAATTTGATAGCGGAAGATTTGGTAACGGAAAATTAGTAGCGGATGATTCGGTAACAGAAAATTCGGTAACGGAAAATTCAGTAAAGGAAAATTCAGCAAAGGAAGATTTGGTAACGGAAAATTAATAGCGGATGATTCGGTAACGGAAAATTCGATAACGGAAAATTCGATAAAGTAAAATTCAGTAAAGAAAGATAGATTATATATAGAGATTAAATATTTTATTTCAATTTCGTTTTTCGTCACGATTTGAATTGATAATCTAATTAAACCGCTGTACTTAAAAGTAAAACTTAACGGGGAAGGGTATGTGGCTCATGCCGGTTAAGGATGTTTGGATTTTTTTTAAGAAGGATGTCTATTTCCACAGCTAGATATTTTTTTTTATTTTTACACAGATGGGATATAGCACGACCGTGTCCTTCAAACAGGTTGTTATTCCACAGACAACAACAACCACAACCACGATATGCCTTTTAAGGGTAGGTTGAAATATGACCTTAGGTAAAGTTTCTATTCGCAAATAAGCTCGATTTAAATGTTATTTTACGTTTACATGGCAGAATGGATCGAGCCAATTTCTTTGTAGTTAATAAATTTGAACCTGGCGAATTTAATGATGCACATGCCGAAATTTGAAACGAATTATTATTTTTTTTTTTTTTTTTGGCAATTTAGACACACCACAGAGATCGTATTCAAAGAAATATTATGTTAAATTAATGTGTTAAATGAAGATTTTATTTAGAAAATAATCTGCAATTCGTTTAAATTTTGTTCACTAAACTTTTAAAAACGACCAAAAATCAATATCAGTCTGTAATTTTAAACTTTATAAGAGTTATCATTTCGCAACACGTGTATCTTAATTTCTAAAATATTTGCGAGACGAAATATCTCTGTTGCTTATACACATATAAACAGCGTTTCACGTAGATGCGGCGGCGAGGTTCGATCTAGGGTCCCTAGCGGTCCCATTATAGATATTTATAAAAAAAAACAAAACAATTAGCCTGGTAACAAACTGGATGTTAGTTTAATAGCTATGCAAAGTTTCAGCAATATTGGCTTTTACGGCTTTAGGCGGCAACTTGATTCAAACAGACAGAAATTGACACACACACACACACACACATACGTACATATACAGTGTAACCCGGATATAAGAGAGTTGTCGGGACCGGAGAAGAAGTCTCTTATATCCGGGTTTCTCTTATATCCGGTTTTGGTCTATTTTGTTTAGGTAAGTATGAGAACACTTTGGGACCAGAGAAAATCTCTCTTATATCCGGGTTTCTCTTATATCCGGGTCTCTTATATCCGGGTTACACTGTATATATATATATATATATATATATAGTTGTATATTTAGGCAGCAATCCTTCTTTTATGCATGTTTCATTAAAAAAGACAGACAAGGTACTACGGTTAAGTTTTTTATTTAATTTTTCTTGCGTTCTGACAAGAGCTTTCTTTTCTGGACAAAGGGTGTGTAAGAACTGTCCAAATGTTTTATATTTCCGAGCGCTTTCGGCTATACCTTTAGCCATTATCAAGGATGATTCGATTTTTCAGCTTACTTGAGTGTGTGCGTTCTGTGTATGTCTTAGTGTGTGGTAGGGATGTTTTTAATTTCCGAATACGGTTAGCACATTGTGGCCTTGTTCGTAGTTAATATTGTTAAGAGTTGGCTTTTTCTGTTTTATTATTAAAGCTTCCATTATTTTTAGTCTTTTTTTTTTTTGCAGGTAGATGTAGTTAATATATTTGTGTTTTCTACTAGTATGTTTCTAATGGAGATAGGTGTAACGTATATATATATATATAATATGTGAAACATTCTGTACATTAATAATTTTCTGAAAGCCAGGAAAATTAAAAGTATCTTATAATGTAAGACGTTTTATGTGTGCGTGGCTCCGTGTTATTACCGGCCTATATATGTTAAAATTATTTTGTTTATTAGGAAAATTTCTAAAACTTTACCTATTTCTGGTAACCTGAAACTTGAATTAACACCCCGCTCCCAGCAAACAAAAAGATAGAAAAAAAAAAAACGCCTTATTATACCATATGCATTATTTCAACTGTTTCAGGCACATACATTCATAATGTGTACATACACAAAGGATTCACACACACGCACATATGTATGTGTGTGTCTAATATATATATATATATATATATATATATATATATATATATATATATATTTTTTTTTCAAACACTTAAATCCATCGAGATAGTTAAATGTTTAATCATAAAACACGATGTTTTTATAGTTTTTCCTTACGGCATCCATAAATTAACAAATTCAGTTTAAGAAAATAAATAAGACATTTATGAATAAACAAAGTCTGCATGCTCATCGAGGTTGTTAAAATATAAAGTGTATAGTATATTAAAAAGTCAGCAATGACGTACAGGTTGGAAACTAATAAAAACGCTTGTAAGCAAACTGAGAAATAGACAAAAAAAATAGAAAGAGCTGTACTATGGAAAATATTAAAACATAGAAACAGGAAGACATGGGGCTAGGGAACAGATTAACAGAGAAGAGATGAAGCCATGACAATGCAAGTGGGTAGTACTCATTGCAAGAAGAAAGAATAATAGAAAGGTGTAAATACCCCTAACGCTGCAGAAAAAAGGCCTATGTGAATACAGAGGACTTTGCTGGTAACACATAAGGTAAACAGCATCAACGACGTCATGCAAGGAGTTGGGAAAGGCAACAGTTATATATATATATATATATATATATATATATATATATGTGTGTGTGTGTGTGTGTGTGTGTGTGTGTGTGTGTGTGTGTGTGTGTGTGTGTGTTTTATATACAACCTTTTGCTTCGTCTGTAATCCTTGCAATGTTTACTGTCCAGTTGCATTGTCGTCGCTTAATCTTTTATTTTATTTTAATCTGTTCTCTAAGCCCATGTCGCCATCTTTCTTGAAAACGCCATGAGTTTAAACAATCATTGACTTAAGAATTAAGATTCCTCAGAAAGTTCAAATAAGAAAACAGTGAAAATTTCACGAGTATTTCTAGTGACCTTCCATTGATGTAGTTGTCTTTGTCAGATTTGAATCACATAGCATAGTCAGTATCAATTTTCCCTACCGGTTTGTGCATGTCTTAATAAATACGCGCGTGTGTGTGTGTGTAAAAGACAGAGATCGTTTTGGATAGATCGATGGATATGAACAATAATTATAAACATAGATAGATAGATAGATAGATAGATAGATAGATAGATCATAAGACAAGTACTGGTATATAATATCAAATACTTCACTCTTTGCAAAGAAAGACTCAAAATTCTAGAAGTTATATTTATACAAAAGAATATTAAATAAAGTATTTTTTACCAAGGGAGACGGTATCCTATATTGTATTTAAAATATCAAATATTCGTTTAAAATAATAATACGCATAAATATTTGCTATATATTTTGATCGATCGGGTCTAGTTTTGAGTAACCGTTTTATACATGACGTCACTTCCGAATAATTTGAATGGGAACGAAAAAAAATCGTCACCCAAATTAGAAAAATAATTATTCAAAAATTCTAAAAATCCCTAAAAAAAGAAAATGAAAAAAGAAACAGAGTTGGTTGAACAAGACTCGTTTCTACTTATATATATATATATATATATATATATATATATATATATATATATATATATATATATATATATATCATTGATCTCATTAAAAGAATGACATGGAAAATCTACTTCCATTTTAATCCTGAAAACAAACCTAAAACCAAAATAACACATTTAACTTGAAATCCCAGAACACTCTACCCAATAATGAATTATTAGAACCCTTTTAACTCGACTTAATTAATTTAATTAAAAAGATATCTTTTAGAAAGAAATCCAACCAATTCCAATCCCAACTCAAAAACACATTAGAGATATCCAAAACTCAAAAAAAATTATGGATCAGAGCTGATAAATTCAAAAACATCTACAAAATTGATCCATCTGAATACCACCTTCTAATTCTAGCTCAGAAAGAAACTGTAAATAATTATCCTCTATACACAAAGAAACTGCTAAATTCGCCTATAAATATAATATTGTTGAAAGTATGGGTACAATTCACCAAAAACGCCTACCTACATTTTAAAGACCATAAACCAAACTTTCAAAATAATCAGCAATCCAGACTGATAAATCCCTCCAAATCAGAGTTAGGCCCAATTTCAAAAAATATCCTTAAAAAAATAAACACATCTATATTAGAAAAAAAAAATACTTTTTAAATCTTTGAAAAGATTCATCGGATACCATTAATTGGTTCCAGAATATCAAATCTAAGACTAAAGTTTCATTTATTCAGTTAGATATTATCGACTTCTACCCTTCCATTTCTAAAAACCTATTAGAAAATAGCTTAAAATTTGCTAGAAATTATACTAAAATTACTGACGACGAAATAAAAATTATAATGGCTTCCAGACAGTCTATACTAATGCTTAATGACTCTACTTGGATTAAAGAAAACAGTGAAAATTTCGATGTTTCCATGGGAGCATATGATTCAGCGAAAAAATTTAGTATATATATACATTTTAGACATTCTAAGTAGATTCTTAGCCCCCAAAACGTAGGGCTGTACAGAGATGATGGACCCATTATTATACCTAATACTAATAGTCCTCTAACATCCAAACTACAGAAAAAAATAATTAAATCCTTCAAATTTTTGGGATTTAAAATCGACATATCATCCAACTCAAAAATCGTTAATTTCCTAGACGTTAGATCTAATCTTTGCAATAACCTCTACAAACCCTTCCAAAAAGAAAACCAAACTCCCATATACATAAAGGTCTACTCGAACCACCCAAAGTAATTATAAATCAAATTCCAAACACAGTCAATACCAGAATAAAGAAACTGTCTTCTAGCGCAACAGTTTTTAATCAAAACAAATCTAAATAAAATCAAGCCCTCTTAAAGAGTAACTTCAAACAGACGCTATAGATATTATATAGATAAACCAACTAATAACACGTCTAATAAGTCCAAAAATAGAAATAGGAAGGTTATATGGTTCTATTCTGCAAATTATCAAACATCAATATAGAGAAATACTTCTTAAAGTTAATAGATAAAAGACAAGCTACTGAAAAAAATTTAATAAGATGAATCTAAAAATTAGTTACTCATGTATAAACAATGTCGAAAATCTTTTTAATACTAACCAGTTGCAAAGAGAATTTAATGCTAACCAGTTACAAAAAGAGAATTCTACCTGTAACTGCAGAGTAAAAATTGAATGTCCAGTGGGAGGAGTGTGCATGACAGAAAACGTGGTGCACTAATCCACAATCTCCACCAAAGAGAATGTTAAACAAAAAAAAAAGATCTATATTGGAATATCTGCTGGGAATTGGAAACAGCGCTTCTACCACCATCGCCATTCCTTCACTAATGAATACCAGAGACACCTAACAGCGCTATTGAAATACTATTAGGATCTGGTGGAAAATGGCTTCACCCCACAGGGGAAATAGAGAATTATCTCTAGAGCTCGAACACCTAAAAACTTTATAAACATATGTGACCTCTGCATTAAAGAGAAAATCTTGATAATCAAACATAATGATCCTGAAGAATTACTCAACCAACAAATTGAGATGATCTTTAAATGCAGACATAGAAATCACCTCAAAATAACTAACTACATAAAAAAACTGTCCATGGAAATTCTGAAAGTCTAAATTATCTATATTTTAAATAATACCCGATGTCGCTCTATACAAATTTTATCATTTATATTATAATATATATACATTTGTATATGAGCATATGTGTATTGATGTATATCCTTATAATACGGTTAATATTTATAGGTGTCCATATAGCAATTACAAGCATACACATATAATGGTATATGTATATGTAGATGTTTATATACGGAAGTATTTATTTGCTTATATTTAGATGTGAGGATGCTGATATGCAGGCACGTGCGCGCGTACGCATGTGTACGTGAATATGTGGTTTCGTATATATATATATATATATATATATGTGTGTGTGTGTGTGTGTGTGTGTGTGTGTACATGTATGTGAATATATGTATATGTGTGTATATGTATGCGTGTGTATGTGTGTACATGTCTATGTCTATATATATATATATGTATATGTGTAGATATGTATGTGTGTATATATATATATGTGTGTGTATGTCTGTAAGGTTAGGTAAGTATATATATGTGTATCGATACATATGTATGTGGTTGCGTATGCATATGTATATGTGTATGGGTATATGTATGTATATTTATGTAGATATGTATGTGGTGTGCATGTATGCATATATGTATGTGGCATGTATATATGCATATATGTATATGTATGTGTATATACAGATTAAGTGTAAAGATAATAATTTATTATTACCTTCAAATCTTGTTTCATTTCGAAATAGTTTCAAATTAGATTTGAAGACTTAGACTTTAATTAGGAAATATTACTCCTTAACTGTTATTCATAATATTAAAAATATTAATAATAGTAATATTTTTTGTTTATTGATATTGTATTCAAATTATATTTATTTCCAAGTTTAATTTGTTGATAAATTAAATTGCTTATATTACTATCAAACGTTAACGGAAAAATATAAAAAATCTGTTTTTCCAAATTAGCCGCTATATGCCCACATATATTAATTCTTTTTCCAAATCTCTAGTCCTTTTTTTCCCTTAAAACCCTAATTCCACCTCTTATTTCTTTACCTCTCTTTCTTAAAAATTAAAAAATTAAAAAATAAGTTATTTCAAAATTAGCTTGAAGATGAAACAGAACTAATGCTTTTACTTTAATTATATAATTAAATTTGAAGATTTTAGCTTCGGTTTTTGAAACATGGTAATTCTTGTGTAGCGAAGAAATCATATTTTAAATCAGTTAATATATATATATATAATAAATTAAATATAAATATAAATATATATATATATATATATAGATAGATAGATAGATAGATAGATAGATAGATAGATAGATATAATTTTAATAACACCCAAACTATGAAACTGAATTCATGCCTTTTCTTTTCTCAAGACAACAAAAATATTAAACACTTTTTTAATTAAATTGTTTATTTGTAAGAAGAGTTTTATATTTACAAAATTATAAAGAATATCTGAACCAACGGCAATGTAATATTTATTACTTACCTTAATATAAATATATAATTTAAAATATATATATATATTTTGATTTTTTATTAAAATTATTTAATTATAATATAATGGGGAGGATCAAGAGAGAAAACATACTTTTGGCAATACCGTTTCTTTTGGGGTGTTTTTCGGGTATTCTTGTTAAACTTATGTATGTAATGTATACGCGTAAGAAATAGTATATCTACTGCATATATATATAAGAGACGCTGTGTACAAATATGCCTAAGATAAAACGCGTTTTGTATACACAAGCTAAAAGGTATAGAGAATCTTAATATATAAATTTGTTTGTTCGTATTTAGAAACCCCTAAAGCATAAATCATACAGCATACACTAACATAAATTATCTTACAACTTCGAAAACAAAATCAATTAATCCTATGAGCAACTAGCTCGTAGAGGTACTTTTTTTTAATATCATGTCCCATCAGGACGTAGACGATCATGACTCTCCACAGCTTCCTTTCTTTAATATCTGTGAACTGTCATGACATCCTGGAAGAAAAAGTATGGTGGTTTAATGTTGTTTTCTCCACGACTTTGACTGGAGATTAGAGCTTCTATTAGACTGGTTTCCACTAAATGAAACAGAGACGAATCTGCTCTGCTAAAGGGAGTAGAGAAGAAATTGATTCATGACTTTACCATGAGTATTTGTGCGATAATGAATGCAACAAACTAGGCAATAATTTGAACCCGACTTGCTTCCTTTCCACGTAATATACACCAGGTTGTACTAGGTTTGGTTTGGTTTGCTTTGGTTTGCTTTGTTTTATAGCATATCAAACTCAATGGGTTACTTAATGCTGACAAGATTTTTATTGCTGGTAATATTTCTTTCTTCAAAAATGAATTGCTGTTAATTTTTTCAAAAATGTATTGTTGTTAATAAATTTTTTTCAAAAATTTATTCCTGGTAATATTTTTTTACAAAACTTATTGCTGTTATTAAAACCTATTTTTACACTTTCATAGTGTTTTGACTCCAGTTTGGGGGTTAACTATTTGCCCATAGCTGGGACCCTAACAAGTGCTACCAC